TATCACTAAACAAAATAAGCTCAAGGGTAATTAGTTTATTGTAATTCCCCTATCAATGCACTCAAGTCCCCTTCGCTCTTTATTTCACCTCATCGTTTTGACCTGCGGCCATGTAAACATTTCGCGAATCATTTATCTATTACGCAATTACAGCGAACTGCCGCCTGTTGCTCCTGTAACACCCTTCGGGGAAATTACGCACCCTCCATTCCCAACCACTCCGCTCTGGTGGAAATTCGCATTGCTAAATTTGATGTAATTTTTTTGTCGAAGCTTTTTTTTTTTTTCGCGAGAAACCACCATCAATGCAGGAGCAACAATGGTAAGCATTGGTATTACCCCCGCCCGCCTTGAAGTTAGCCGCGCGCACCCCTTTAACCCAACCCCTTCAGGTTCACCACTCTTCAACCGCTTTCAACCCCTTGCAATTGCAACACCTTTGCGTATCGGACACCCCACTGTCCCTCCATCCCCTTTTGCCCTTTTCCCTTTCCCCTTTTCCCCTTTTCCACTTTCCCTTTCTCCTTCATATGTGCAATTATCGCGCGTTTATTGCGAAACAATGCAAAATACACACGCCAACAGCAGCGAAGGTCCAATCCCATCAACTGTTGCTCTTCCGTTTTGCAAGGCGAAAGGAGTTCGGCTTTAAAGTCTAAACCATATTAGATAAAAATAGGGCAGTTTTAAGTATAGAACTATCGAGCGACTAAAGTTTGCCTAGATTAGCAAAAATTAAAATAGAAAAAAGGAGTAAAAGGCCTTAATATGACCACTAGAATTTAAAGATACTTTTCAAGTAATCCAGCAGTCTGTAATTTTTCCTGCACCATGTGTGTGTGTTGTACAACTCTCCATTCTATAATTTTATATATTTTTTTTTTTTTTTTTGCAAAAAGGTCAAAAAGCAAACGATGTCCTGTGGCGCTGACGCCGACAAAGGAACTCCTGTAATTGCTGTCAATCTGCAATGTGGTTGTTGTTGTGTTTTTGGAAAGGGAAAGCAAACATTTTGGTGCTGTTTTTTTTCTTTGTGAGATCTTTTATGTTTACGTCTAATTAACAGTAATTAACGCATTAACTGGGCGTTTGTGTGCGAGTGAAAGTGTTTTGCTGGCCTTTCAATAATTATAGAAGTGTGAAGAGTTCAACTTACAAAATCATAGAACATGTAACAATCAAAATAAACCAAATAGACTCTTCAGATATGCCGTATATTTTTAATATCCAATGAAATCTAAAGAAAATAAAAATTGATTCAATATATTTGTTGGCCAAAAACCCCCAAAAAAACGTCTAAACAAATCAAATCAATTTGCGACCTACACACAAGCACAGAGCACACACAGATACTGCGCGTACATGTCGAATCAGCCAACCAAAAACAACGCTAATATGACACTTTAACAGTTAGGCCAATACACACACGCACACTGGCTCATGCACACCAGCACACACACGCACAACTAATAATAAAAAATCATAATTTCAATCAGTGACAACAACAACGATGAATCCGAGAAAGAAAGAAAAAACAAAGGCAGCAGCATCATCGACACCTGCATATCGCTCACTCCCTTGCACTCATGCACTCGCATAGCCGCAGTCGGCAGCACAGCCACTACCGGCAGCGCAGCCGACTCAAAAAGAAGTACAACAAAAATAATAATAATAAAAAAAAACCAACAAGAGTGAAAAAATATCACTCAAAATTAAAGGGAAGAGAGAGCGCTTGCGCGCATCGAAGGAGAGTCGGTATGAAAATGAGTAAATGAGTAAAAGATTGAGTTTAAACGAACGAGAGTGAGAGGGGCGAGCTTGTGCGAGTGAGAAGGTAAAGAGTAAACTTGAAAGCCGAGGAAAAATCAAAGCCAAAAGTTGTTCGAAAAAAGTAGGAAACAAATTAATAAAAAAAAAAGAGACATTCAATGGCGTTTGGCGCGAGCGAGAGGGAATTTGTGGTTGTTGGTTTTTATCCTCCTCCATCCTAGCTTCCCTTTGATTTTAAACTATTATTACTTCCACTATTTGTATCTTTAGAAGCCGGTAGTATTGACATCACAAAATACACATTACAAACATTTATTTTTAATTATAGTACAAATAATCATATATTACAATTGGTCAAAGTAAACGTATTATATAGAGATGTGTCTTCATACTTTTTAAAAATACTTAAGTTAACTTCGAGTATCCCGTAATGATTCAGATAAATCATATGGAAGCTCTGGCATGTTTTTAAATTCTGCTATTAAAATACATATTATTATTCATTATTTCGGCATCTTATCTTAATTAAAGTTGTGTTTTTTGGACACCATATTTAAAATAAAAATTTTTTTAAATATTTTTCTTACATATTTTTATTATTTATTGTTTATGTTTTCAAGTATTTGCGAGAGCAACAGATATTGGATGCTCCTCTGCCACTGCGCAGGTAGCAGCGACGTCGACGAAGGCAGCACACACACACGTGTGATATGTGCATTTGTGTGTGTGCTGTCCATTGACGTTGTCGTCGTCTGTTTTTCTGCTTAGCTTTTTGCTCGCCAATCAAATGGGGCGGGGCTTAAATCGTTTGCTTCGCTTCTTTCTTCTTTTTTTGTCTGTCTTTGCCCTCTGCCGCTGCAGGGTGCTTCATTCGGCGTCGCTGCCGCTGAGCTTCTTTTTCGACTTTTTATGTGACACTTGTTAGTGTGTGTGTGTGTGTGCGATTTGTTTTTGTTTTTTATTATGCGAATTATCGAAAATTGAGAACGCCTGTCATTTGAGTGCTTTTGATGCTCGGGAAAACTTTTGCTGCATTTAAGCCCTCGCTCTCAATAGAGGATCGAATCTAACGATCAAGAAACCGCATTTTTTAAATTTATTCTTGTTTTTTTTCTAAGTTATAAATGTTTTATCTTAAAAGGTGTTTTTAAGTAAATGAATTTGGCATTAAACGTTTAAACACAGTTATATTGTTCAAAAAATAATTTAAACTTTTCAAGCTAAAACTATAAGATTTTGATCGAAAAGTATGATTTTCTGGCGATTGAATGAAAAAAAACTACAAGTTTAAAGTAAATATACAAGTAGTACTTTCTTCTTTGATAAAAGTATTGTATAATATTTACAATTAAATAATATTCAAATTACAATAATAATAAATTAACATTGCAATTAAAAAAGGTGAATTCTCCATGCTAACAATATCGGCTCAACAAGTTCGAAAACGTTTCGAAACCGAGTTCGAACCCCTTCCGAAATCGACTCAAACGAGAGACTGAGTTGAGTAAACATCTTGAGAGTTTTTGGAGTGCTTTTTTCATTCCGTTGCTTTTAATCTAGTTGGAATGTGCAGTTGGTTGGGAGAGACACCTGTATAAGGTATATTTTGGTAGGGGATTGTAATGCATTTCATTTATTTCTCGATTTTGGGAAGGCATAAGTGCAACAAATTTTAGCACAAATTTATAAATTATGTTTAAAATATCTTAAAATTCAATAATAGTTTAAACAAAGAAGCAAAGAAAATATTTGAAATATTCCTATGAAAAGGAATAAAATGTTTGCGAAATCACAAACAATTCAAATTAACAATAAACTAAAAGTGGATTTAAAATTATTTAGAAGTAGATTTTATAGCTAGATTTTGATTCGAATATTATGTGGATAGAATCCCATATATTTTGATATATATATGTATATACATATACATACATATATATCTTGTTCACAAGAGCAATAAAATGAACTGAGAATTTTTTCGATGTGGCGGCGCTGCCCTTTCTCTCGGCTCTCCCGTTATTTTCGTTATTTGCCAGCCGACGACAAAGTCACCGAGGAGATCCAAGCCCCCAATAATCCCCGTGTACCCCATTTCCCACAGTTTTTCCACCCGAAGTTCCTCTCGGAATGCAGCAACGCATCTGCCACTGCGACTTGGGTTTTCAGTCTCAGTTTAGGTGTAAGCCATAACCCATAACACACACCGCCCACCTCGCCCACTTAAAGCATGGGTTAAGAGGAAAAATAGGGGCGGGAAAAACAGGGGGGCGCGTCTGCATTGCACTTGGCGTTTCGATACAATTTGAACTCTTCTTTATGCAAAAATCCCGCAACGGGACAGCGAATTCCAGAGGTTGGCAGAGAAACAGAAATTGCCAAGGGGCTGTTGCCATTTAATGTTCCCCGGATTTTGATGAGCTTAGTTACGCTTAAATCTTGAGTTGCATTACAATATAACAGAAAAACTTTAAATCATCTAAATATCAAATTCAGAAAATTAAAATTATTAGAAATTACCTATAGCATTGCTACAATGTGGCAGTGGAAAATTTTTTTTTTGAAATAAAAATATACAATCATTTCTTTTATTCTCAAAAACAGTTAAACGTTCATTAAAAAAAAAAAAAATTAACTGAAAAATTTTTAAATACATATTGCAAATCCTGGGAAATATCCAAAAACCCCGAAGCAAACTTAATATCAATTTAAGGTAAGACCCCCACACAAAAAGAAATCATAAGTATTGAAAAATCCGCAACCGAAATCCCTCAGCCAACGTCTCTGTCGACGTTGCACTCAATCCTGAGCTCAATAAACAGCAACAACAACAGGGCAAGAGAAGAGAGAACGCCGACTCTTTCGTTTCCAATAAGAAAAGCAGTGTGCGAGCGAGAGATCACGAGCCAAGTGTCTGTGAATGAATGAATTTCAATACATGCAACTGACATGCGGCGGCGCAGAAAAATGCTCAAACAAGAGTATATATAAGAAAAGATAATATAAAAATGAGAGAAAAAAAAAGAGGGGACCGAAAAAAAGTGAGAAAATCAAAAAGCTATTGAAAGAAATCAAAAGTAGTGGTGGCAAGGAAAATTGAGTGAGATTCTCTTCTGAGAGAGACCGCCGCTATGTGCGTGTGTGTGTGTGGTGTTGTGGCGCCTCGGCCGACGTCGACGTTCGCTGCCAGCGCTCTCTGCGGCAGAGGGTTGTCGGCGCTTCGTTAACGTTCGATTTGTTCAGTCATCAACAGCATTCGTGACTGGCAACGTCGTTTCGTTCGTCCGTCGCCGAAAGAATTCGAGAATTTCAGAAGATTTTTGGATTCTACTGCCCCACAGGCAGAGCTGCTTTCTTCTTCGCCGCGGCGCGGGTGTGTGTGCGTGTTTGCCCCTCCCCTCTCTCTTCTCTCTCTCTGTGTGTGTGCAGAAGAATCCCCAAAAAAAAAAAAAATTAATTAAATAAATCAAGAAAGAATCTCGCCTGCAAAGAAGAAGAAGAAGATACCAAGAAAGATCATAAACAAAACACAAAAAGGACTAAACACGAACGAACGCAACAATAAACTGTTTTTATTTTTTTCAAGTGTATTTTTGTTCGCTAAAAACATGTGCGCGTGTATGAGTGTCAAGTGTAAACAACAACGACAGCAAACATGTGCAAAATAAGCCAAAGCCAAGAAGCAATAACAGCATTATAATGGCTTAAAAATCACACACACAACAACAACAACAACCAACAACCAAACAACAAACCCTCACCATTCAACAACTGCAACAATCCCCCCACACAACAGCAACCAAAACAACAACGACAACCTAAAAATTAAACAACAAATTATGTTTCGGAACTAAAGTGAATGAAAGCAAAAACATAACCATAACATAATAAAATTAATAATAATAATAATAATAAAAATAACACATAGATTGGCTTATTTATGCATTTTTTTGGGCACGTAACAAAAACATAATAATTAAGGTGTAAATGTGATGACTAAAATCAATGTAACAACCAACTAACAAACAAACAAACAAACAAAGAAATCGAGACGGCAAAAGCAAAACAAAAGGAGAACATATAATGCCAGTCCTTAGCCCCAAATTTGGTAGACTCGAAAACTGAGTAAAAATTAAAACTGAGAATCATTGAACTAACCCAAGAAAGCCCACGAATGCAGCCAACATTGCCACAAGCCGCTGGGACAGCCGATATGGATCTGACGGCTGTTCAATCAATCAACGATTGGTTTTTCAAAAAGGAGCAAATTTATTTATTGGCACAATTTTGGCAACAGGTAAGGCAACTCGGAAAACTCGTGAAAATTAAGCTCGCAAACCTGCAAAATTCGGTACTTAAAAGTTTCAGTTTAGTTTAATAAACTGAATACAATGTGACATAGAAAACAATTGAGAACAGGTTCTAGGAATTCATTTTTAATGAACTGAAACTAAGGTTTCTTTTTTAAAATGGTTTTTATAATAAAGTTCTAATTAACACCTGTTATTTGTTGCATTTTGATTTCCTCCAATGCAACTAAAACTTCTAAGAATGTGACAAATGCTTGTGCTTATTTTAATTCAAGTAATTGAGTTTTGAAATCCTCCTTGGAACTGCAGAAATTGATCGAGTTGTCATCTATAAAATGTGAATAATTTTCAAGCTCTATAATACTCGTTGGACTCGCTGGAAACTCCTACGATTGAAAACAATAAACCTAAACCTACTATACTTCCCCCAACCGCCTCCTGCAGCCCCAATACTTTCGCCCCACCAACTGCTTAACTTAACTTAAGTTAACTAATTGAGTTTGCGTGTTTATGGCAAATGTGTTTTTGTTGTTTTTTTGTAGTTTTGTTGTTGCTTCCCCCGTTATTGTTGTCTAATTTCTTGTTGTTAATGTATTTATTTTTGTGTGCTATTATTGATTTCTGAAAAATTTGTTTACACAAAACAAAAAGTAAAATGCAAAGTGCAACAAGCAAATAATAAGTGAACAATTTATTGCTTGAATAATTTTTTGTATTTGTTGTATCCGTTTGTTCAGTTTTTTTGTGTTTTTTGTGTGTTTGCTACCGCTTCGATTTGGTGAACTAAAAAAGCTAAAGCCACGCAAGATCGGCCAGTCGGAAGATAATGCGAAGGGGGTGCGGCGGGAAGGGGTCGGAGGAGGAGGCGTGGAAAATTGGGGAGTGGGAGCCAGACGACGCGGAGTATTTCGCTGGCCAAATGCCAGACTCCGAACAAATAAGGCGGCAAAATAACATAACCGAGGGAAAGAAGAAAAAAACTGCCAGACCAGACATGGAAATATCAACTCATATATTCATCTATATTTATGTAAATGAATATTTTCTTTAGATATAAATACTCTCTATATAACTTCACGAGTTAATTAGGTTGCGTAGACAGAAGGACTATTTTTAATTGGAGTTTCTTCTTCGATTGATCCTGAAAAGCAAAGACTGACAGACAGACAGGCAGGGTAAAAAAATATCTGAACTTTTAGACATTTACCGGCGGCAAATGCGGTTTTTTTTTGCACTCAATACAATATTATTCTATAAATTATTGTGATGCAGGCGGCAATCGGTAAACTGGTAATAAGCTAAGTCAAAAGCTATTCCAAAAAGCAAAAAAGTTGCAATAGAAGTTTAGAAGGAAGGATTTTATCAATGGATCTCTTGATTTAAAAAACAACAGGTTTATTGGAGTCAAATTGGATAATTTATTTAAAATTATTATTAGTTATTGGTATTGTTTTAGAAGCTTTTTGAGTTCTAATTAACCCCCAAACAAATACAAATACGTTACTGTCTTTGGTTATTTTTCTCCGTTCGATCAATTGCCGGCTTTCAAAAGCTTTAAGACCTAAAAAAAAAAAAAAACTCTCCTCCAACTGATGATCGATTGTAATCAATAATTCAATTTTGAAAGGTTTCGTTATGCCATCGCAAAACCGATCAACATATTTCAACATAAAAAATTAGAACCCGATCCCTAAATACCTTTTTTCTACAGCCGTTCGAAAAGGTTAAGCAACATATTTTTAAATTCTGCCGACCAAAAATAGAAGCTTATAAAGTTAATTAAACAAACCGCAGACAGACAACCGTCTACAGCTGTCCAAATGAGTTGATGAAATACTTTTTATAGTATTCCTTATTTATTTATTTACATTTCAAGAACAGAGCGCGCGGGAAAAAATTGACACAAATCGAAATCGAAATAGCAACAATAAAAATGTGCTTGATTAACAAAGTTTTGTCATTAAATATATAGAACAGTGGCACCGAAAAAGCGATCGCAAAAGAATATAAAAAAACAAGAGCAAGTACAAGAAGCAGAACCAAAGAAGAACAAAGAGCAAAAACAAAAAAAAAAAAAGAGCAAAATTAAGTTCCGTAATGCAATCTTTAAACTTGACCCATTAACATCGAACAGATTTTTTTTTGATTCTACAATTACCGAAAAACCGAAAAACTAGACGAAAGATAAAGATTTTTGTCATTGATTTGTGCTGATCCAGCCATAAAAAATGGAAATGGAAATGGAAAGACACAGCCAACAAAACCAAACTAATTGCCAAATGCATTTGCTGACTTAAAAAAAAAAAACAAAAAAGCAAAATTAAAATGAAAAGATGAGAGAAAATCGAGTTTGGAGTTCCGTTTTAATCGAATTGAAACCGGTTTATAGGGTAGTCACCACCACCAACAGAACAGAACCATTACAGATGCACAAGATACGGATACAAATAGCGGGGACGAGAATTGATAGTTTATAAGGTTTATAAAAAGATGGCGTCTCCTCTGGGTAGCTTTCCTGTAGCTACATTTGCATATGCCGAAAATGAGCAGCCAAGGGTTGTCTTTTAAGCCCTTCAAAAAACAGAAAAAAAACAAATACAGATATAGCAGATACCATATACCAGATACTATATTACACCAGATACAGTATTTTGGTGCAGACTCAGTTAAAGATCAGTTTTGGTGGAATGAGAACGAACGGCGTGTGTCGTATAATTTTTAGCGTTTTAAGAGCAATTTACTCTCCTTCCTTCCCGCTTGCACTCATTTGAGTACACAGAAGCTAATGAGTCAGAGACCCCGGTAAAAAAAAAAAGAGGTTGTACCACCAAGAATCACAGACCGAATTCAACCACCCACACACAACACACACATCTTGTTGCAAATGCGATACACATCTGATATTCATAGTCCACCACCGTCCCCTTCCCATCGCACAAATGTATATTTCAGTCAGTTCAATCGTTCGATCGCTGGAAAGATATGTTAATATAATTAAATTAATTTGTCAGCACGGAAATTAAAGCAGCAGCAGCAGCAGCAGCAAATACAGAAATACCCATCGAAATACCCATTCACATTCACAGCCACATCGGTATGGTATGGTATATGGTATGGTATCTATAACAACGCGACGAACGAATCGAATCGAAACGAAACGAGACGAGTCGAAATGAAAATCGAATAATTAAAAGCTTGTGGGTGGAGATGGCGATCTGAACCCGGGAACTCGAACTCGATCTGAACTACCACGCAACTAATAATGTGAAATAAAAAATCATTTGGAAATTATTATTAAAAATTGGGTTCATGAACTGTGTTGTCTGTGTGCTTCCACAGACTCTCTTCGTGTGTGTGTGTGTGTGAATTAAAGTGTGTGTGTGGTATATCCCAGCGGGAAAAAGATGTGGAAAATATGCTATTTTTCAGTGGTTTCTTCATACAAGCGGAAGGGCAAAAACCTCCTTCACCCCTTACATTTTTGCCGTCTCTCCTTTCAAAATACACGGGGGTGACACACAAAAGGAAGGGGTAAAGGAGGCTTGCAGGCCAAAAACCTGTGGATGCTCTGGCTGCTGAAAGCAGGGCAAAATCCAGTGGACCTACGGCTGCTGAATGCAGGGCAAAATCCAGTGGACCTACGGCTGCTGAATGCAGGGCAAAATCTAGTGGACCTACGGCTGCTGAATGCAGGCCAAAATCAACTGGTTTTTGTCCTTCCCGCTTTACAGAATTTCCACATGTAAAAAACAATACTTTTTAATTTGGTATAAGCATTTATTAATCTATATACAGTCCAAGGACCTTTGTCATAAGTATTTTTGTATATTATATTTTTTGCCTCAGTGAACGATGAACGCAGATCATCTTGATATTGGCGAAGACTGTAATTGTCGTTTCTGAGTGACTCTGAAAATAAAAACCATAATATATTAATATATAACATATTAATACAAATCAAAAAATATATAAAAAGTATTGGGAAAAATAGAGAAATTTAGAAAAACAAGTATACTTACCATACAGTACGTTGGAGAAATTATTATATGAATTTCAAAAAATGTAATTACATAGTAACAAGCATGGCTATTGAAATTTATTAAAAATGTAGTGAGTACTTACAAATTCTTCTGGATTGGCTTCGGCATCGGAGTCCAAGTGGCCGAGTTCCTCAAATGACGAAATCGAAATGTCCGCTTGCGCACGTTCAGATTTGCCATTAATATTGACATATGGGCCAGAATCTTTATTACAAATTTTATGAAAAGAAACATTTGTTTGTTTTTGTGAAATTGAAAAATAAATTTAAATAAAAAACTTACTTACTTACTTGACAACCGCCTCTGGCGGCTAATATTTAGTTTTCGTAAAAATGCTTATGTTCACCATATCCGTAACGCTGAAATAAGGATATACAAACAAAAATATTTATGTTATAACTTACCTTTATCTTGTTTTTTAGAATAAACTTAACTTTTTTTTCACTTTTGACACATTTTGCGCGACATTTTATAGTGATGTGACCGTGCATCATAGCAATATTCTGAAGAAAGACAATAATTAGTCACAACTTCGTTGTAACTTAAGGTCATATTCAGAAACCCACCCCATTTAGCGGTCCGAAATTTTCTACTCCTACCCGTACGCCTGCTAAAAGAAGCAGGTTTTCAAGTACTCTAAAAACCTCCTTCCCACTTTCCCGCTGGGATGGTGTGCTTGATCAATTTTTATTATGATTATTTGCTGTTTCCATCTCTTTCCGGTTTATGGCATTAATTATGAATAGCCATTGAAGCTAATTAAAGCCGGCTGAGTGGAGTGTCCTCAAGTAACTTGGGAACTAATCAAACGCACTTCAAATCTCCCATGCGATATCTTTGGGCACTAATCAGTTTTTCAGACTTTCAATCGAATAAAGATCCGATCCATCCAGGCAGTGACCTCAAGTAACCCAGCTATCAACCATAGTTGGTAGCTGACCACAGTC